GGGGGGGGGGGAATAATCCAGAGTATGAAACACACAAAATCAACAGTACCTTTTGTCTCTTTAAAGAATGTGAAGGGTTCTTAGACCACTTAAGTTGCCCTGATTTTTCTCTTTGCACCAGTGAGCACGCCTGGGCTTGGTTTGATTGGGTGTTTGTTTTCTGCGTGGATGACCCAGACAGATGTTGGGCCTTTGTGATTCGATGTCTTTTTCTGCCGCTTCCTTTTGGTTCTTTTTAATTTGTTGCAATTGTAGTAGTATCTTCGGTCTATGAACCTGCACAGACTATTTAATCATAAACTCTACAAATAGCTTAAAAGGAAAAGGGGGAAGAAACAGCTTTTATTATATTTTTATTGTTGGCTTAAAAAAATTACTCCTGTAGCCTCCCTGCTTCGTCGGTTCATGGGAAGTAAATCTCAATGGGCGTCAAAAGTTAAATTCTTCTCACACTTGTTAAAAATAAAGAGTTTTTAAACAAGTTTTGTTTCCATTCACAAACGTTACCCCCATCTAAAAAAAAAATGAGAAAGAAAGAAAGAAAAAGAGAGAAAAAGACAGAATCCATCCTCCTTTCTCTTCGTCTCCTAGTGGAGAACAGTAATCCTTTCCATCCAGACCTCTGTCACACCACCGTTTCCACACCCATCAGCTTTGGCGTAAGGATCCGTGGTGTTACACCATTGTTCAGGTCTTCCTCAAACTCCAGTAACTGCCCCATGAAGTTAAGGTTTGGGGAAATAATTGGCCGTTTGCCTTTGACAAACTTATAAGCGTCAGTCATGGTCATCCGAGTGTGCTTCATCAAGTACGCGATGACGATGGTGGCGGACCGGGACACCCCCGCCTGGCAATGGATGAGAAGCCCCTTCCCACACTGGTGAGCTTCCTCTGGGAAAAGGGAGGGAGGCGACAGGTGCAGGAAAGAAGGGAGAGAAGGGAAAAGAGAGATTAGCTTTTATCCAGACGTGACAAGGCTATATTTTGTCGAGAAAAGAATAAATTCCAGCGGTTTTAGAGCTCAGTTATAATTTGCTAGTTAATTGTGTGTGTTTATGGCCCAACCTCCAGAACTGGCTGACAGCAATATGAACGTGAATAAGATGCCACACGTCTACACTTAAAGAGAGCACGGGTGGCTCAGCGGGTTAAGGGTCCGACTCTGGCTCGGGTTATGACTTCACAGTTCGTGGGTTCCAGCCCCACGCTGGATTCTGCACTGACGGTATGAAGCCTGCTTGGGATTCTCTCCCTTGCTCTCCCTCTGCCCCTCCCTCACTTGTGCGCGCTCTCTCTCTCTCGGAATAAATACATAAACTTAAAAAACAATAAATAAATAAAGAGAGGACGAGGTAAAAGAATCATTTAAAGGAACCGTTCACATCACAGGTAGGGACAACCTACTTACAGCCAGAGTCACAACACAGTTAACTTGCCCGTGAAGCAAGCCACTGATGAAGGAGACCCTTTGGATCAAGGATGTTAATTCGGATCTCAAGGTTGTGTCGCTTTTCAACACTAGTGTTGTTAACAATGGCCGTCCCAGCTGTGACAGAGAGGAAAAAAAAAAAAAAAGCCCTGCATTTCTTTCTTTCTATTATAGGATTGATCTGTAGGAACTGGTGTTAAATCGATGAGGGTTTCTGTCCTGCTAAACTCCGAGGCCAAAGAAACAAAACGCAACGAGAAAGTTGCTATGTGCGGCTTCTTACCAGAAAAGTCTATTGTTGCAAATGTAGCTAAAGAGTCGCAGTGCTCGGGCACAGGGGGCATCACCTACGTGTGACTGTCCAATCCCTCCCCGCATCCATGTATGCTGTTCCAACATGGTGATGGGAAGCAAGATGGAGGAATTCTAGTGATGGTCCAGGACCCAGAACGATTGAAAGAAGCAATACTTTGTAAGTTTTCAGATATATTAGAAGCTCGGGAGAATAGCTTTGTGGGCACTGCCTACATGGATTCTTAATGACAATTCTAGACCAAAAGGCATCCCAAAGAAAGTTTCTCTGAAGGGATATCAATTAGATGAGGAGTAGGGGAGGGGTGCAAAGAGGAGTGATCTAACTTATACCGCTTTTTTTTTTTAAAAAAAAAAGTTTATTTATTTATGTAAGTAATCTCTACACCTGACATAGGGCTCGAACTCATAACCCCTAGACCAAGAGTGGCATGGTCTTCTGATTGAGCCAGCCAAGGCTCCCCTAATTTAAACCACTTCTATGGGTTACCCTCCGGCGAACTGCGAAAAGAAACCTCACACAAAATTCCATCTTAAACATCTATGAATGAAGCTTACTTCTCCTAGATGACGGTATCTGAAGAAAGCAGCTCCCTTTTCTAGTTTCTGCTCCTCAGCACACGCTATTTATTCACCTCCACACCAAGACTGGGAAGCATGGTTGTAAGAAAATGAGCTGCAAAGTGCTAGGTTTGACCACTGGTTTCACTGCACAGTAGATGAACACCTTGTGTGAATCACCTAACTCCCGAGAGCCTCAATCCTCCTGTCTGCGTAATGGGAATACTACTAACTAACAAGGCTCAGGGAATCTGGGAATAATATCCCCCAATTCAGGAATAAATAAATTGGCACCGTGAAACCCTAAACTCTGCTTAGTTTATATGAGACTCTCAGTGAATGTTATTATCTTTATAAAGCCTATTGTTTTCCCCAAAGCAAGACTACACAATTTCAGTTTATCTAATGATACAAGGACAAAAATGAAATTGTGTCTCTGCAGGCTGTGATGCTGAGCTGTTCTTCAGGTTAAATGCTAGTTGTTATTTGTTTTGTTTTCCTTCTAAAAAATCAGATAAGCCTGAATAACCTATAAGGAATGCAGGTGCTTGGATTGAAATCCTGTTGGAACAAGCATGTCTTATGCTTCTCCTTAAATGGGAAACAATCTCTTAACTTCCCCCAACTGGAATTAAATCAGATAAAATTGCAGTCATAACACCATATATCAACCGGAAAGTTCCTCGTCAACTTGGTGACATACATTTCTTCCTCGGGTCTCAAGGTTTGACTCGAATATTATGAATAAAATATCTAAGACACCTTTGCATCCACAAGTGTTGCCATTCGGGAACCAATTGAGCAACAAACATCGCCCCAGCATATTGTAGAAAGGCTCCTGCCTCAGAGTCAAGAGCCTTGCGTTCTGGTCCTTTCTTGGCCACTAAAATTCTTATAATCTTAGAGAAGTCACTTTACTTTCCTGAGTTCAGGGACCACTCAGAATTTCCTTCCAGACTGCATATTCCATGGTCCTGCATTGAAGGCACAATCGGCTAGGAAAACAGCTGGGTGATGTGGCCAGAACCACGAAATCCACAGCAAACCTATCAGACCCAGGGCTTTTCTTTCTGAAATAGGATCGCCAAACATGAGTGCATTCTTCCTGGGACAGAGGCCAGTAACAACCTGCTACAGTATTTAGGGAAAGAACTCAATCACCTTGTTGTGGTTAATGAAGGCTGGAGTCACTTGAAAAAAAATTGTCGGTTATGGGCTAGGTATTCCCCCAAATGATCATTAGAGCCTTAAAACAGTTCGAGGCTCTGGGAGCAGCAGAAGGTTCCGTTGGGATCAGGGTGAGGCTGGCGGTTACCTCCTTCTGGAGACTAAAGTCTGCTGTGGTTAGAATTCCCCTCCTTGGGAACTGCTCAGGCTACACAACCTGATCTTTCCTACTTTAGCGGGTTTGGGGTAAGCGGTCTCACGAAACCTAGTACCATTTTGCTAACACGTTCATACGCTTCCGCTACCCCATGTCTACGAACTGAGACAAAGCAAGTAGAAGGGGGAAAAAACCAACTCATCCCTCTGCTCTCCTCCCTCTCCTCCGCACCGATGTGATACCTGAGGATGCTCGCTACAGCACCGCTTTCCTGAAGAACATTCTTCAGAAGCGGCCTTTCAGCAAATGCTACCTGTGCCTCAACCTCATGTAGAGAAGCTATACCAACTGCAAATTCATTTAACCTGGGGTAAGGGAGGTGGGGGCGAGTTTGGAGGCGGTGTCATTTTCCTCGCACTTCATTTCCCGCAAGGCGCCCACAGCCACGGTAGACCAGATGGCCATGGCAGCAGCTCTGTCCTCCTATGCCTCCCTCCCCATTACTTCTTTTGAAACGACGTGCCAGAACCTACCTACGCCAAGCCCTACCGTCTTTTTCCTGGAGAACCACAAGGATGCGGCTTTCTGATTGACCAGATCCCGACCAAAGGGAATCACCGATTCGTTACAAGCCATCCCAGGGGCTCCCATGCATTCCGTGGGCCATGACTTGGGAGAATACTTTGGCTGGTCCAGGTGGGGGAGGCCTGGAAACACCTCTGAGCCGCCTTTTTTTTTTTTTTTTTTTTTTTTTGCAGCCCAAGCATCAACCTTGGACTCGCTATCAAAGCGAAAGCTGGAGGGGGAAAGGAAGGCTGAAGGTGAGCCGCCCCCGCGGGAGATAGTTACCAATGAACTCGAAGGCCTCTTCGAAGTACTGCCGCAGGTTCTGCTTATTGCTGTCGGTGGCCGGCAGCCGCTTGTAGTTGAACAGGCCTTTCTCGTAGTGGTAGAGGGGCAGGTGAGTGGTGACGTTGATGACGTAGCCTATGTTCAGCCGCTGCATCGTGTCCAGGTCCTGAGCGTCCTGCTCGTTGCCGAGGAACAGGAAAGGCAGGATGGGCGTCAGCTCCGCGTTCTCGATGTCAGGGGTGGTGGGGAGGGACTGAGGTAGCACGCTGGACGCTGCAGACGCGCCGCCCCCCACCTCCCGGCACTCCTGGAGCTGGAGGGAGTTGTCACAGAGGTTTTCATGGTTCTGCTTAAAACTGCTAAGTCCACCTGGAGCAGACACACAGAAGGTGAGAGTGACCACTCCTAGAACTTCGGAGCCGGCGGAAAGACGGTGCCACCGTCCCCCACCCCCCCCACCGGGAAATAAACTATGCTTTGCTGCCTAGGCACCTCTTAGAAAATAAAATCGGACCCCAAGTGCCAGCCCGGGGGCGTCCCCAGTGGCTCAGCCGGTTGGGTGTCAGACTCTTGATTTGGGCTTGGGTCACGATCTCACAGTTCGTGGGTTCAAGCCCCCCCACTGGGCTCTGCACTGACAGTGGGGAGCCTGCTTGGGATTCTCTCTCTCCTCCCTCTCTCTGTCCCTTCCTCACCCATGTTCTCTTTCTCTCTCTGTCTCAAAATAAATAAACTTGAGAGAGAGAGAGAGAGAGAACAACAATGCGAGTCCTTTTGGAGATCCAGGACAAGCTTCAGATGATCCCATGGCAGGCAGTACTTTGGAAATGTGCTCTTTCTACAAACTGTGGCCATGTTCCCCTGGAAAGAGTTCCATGCAGCATCAGGCAATTTTATCAGCAGCAGATTTGATCTGCTTCAAAGAGCCATATGCTCAGTGGCCTACATAGAACCTTGTACTTCGAGAGCCAGGGAAAACATGGCCGACCTCCCCCGGCACTGGAGGCACGTGCCTTGCACTCTTCCATAAGCTTACCTCACCCAGAATGAGAAGTTTGCTCCCAACACGGCAAAGTGGCTATGAACAGGGACCTTGGAAGGCCCGGATTCCCTTGGCTATCGTCCCAGTAACACAACTTCTTGGCTCTGTGACTTAGGCAAGTTAATTTCTCTCTCTGTGCCTCGGTTCCCTATCTGCAAACTGAGGGTAACGGCATCTACCCCTGAGCGTGATTGGGGGTCTGGAATGAATGCACATGGGCAAAGTGTGCAAACGTCCCCATCAACGACTGCAGCGTCACTTATGGGAATGTATCTTAAGAAAATCACCTAACCAAACATATCCAGCTAGATGTGGCAAGACGTTGACCACAGCATTATTGTTTTATAGGAAAGGCCAAGAACCAAAACAAATTACAAGAAAAAAAAAGGAAAAGTTAATATATTCATCCCAGGGAATGTGACGTAGCCATTGAAAGTTGTGAAAGGGATCTGAAAACAAAGAAAATGTTTCTGTTTAACGTTAAGCGAAACAGATCCAATCCAAAACATTCACCATACACGTGATGAAAAGCTAAAGGACCATGCAAAAAAGAATTTGAGGTAGGAAATTTATGGATCGCAGAGTATCGTTTAAGTTTTTCCTTTAATATTTGTTAGATACATCGTACACATGGTTAAGCCCAAAGGATTGTTACAACAGTCGAATCACATGATATACGTGTAAGGGCTATGAAACCTGAGTTGATATGATTACCGCCGTGTGGGCTCCCATTCTAATCAAACAACCAGATACCCTGGCCTTCCTTTTAAAAGGAGGGGGAAGTTAGAGACCTCCTAGAAGCTGAAAGCCTCCGGAACATGACATTTATGCCTCCTGATACAGGCCTTACATCTGTCTTGATAGTTTCAGGAGATAAGGCAGGAAACACAAAGCGTGAACAGGATACCGTTGTGTTGAAATAAACACAGGAAGTCTACCTGTTCTCTAGTTTCTGAACCTAACATATGCCCTCCTCCATTTCTTTTTTTTTTTTTAATTTTTTTTTTTTAACGTTTATTTATTTTTGAGACAGAGAGAGACAGAGCATGAATGGGGGAGGGTCAGAGAGAGAGAGGGAGACACAGAATCTGAAACAGGCTCCAGGCTCCGAGCTGTCAGCACAGAGCCTGACGCGGGGCTCGAACTCACGGACCGCGAGATCATGACCTGAGCCGAAGTCGGCCACTTAACCGACTGGGCCACCCAGGCGCCCCTGCCCTCCTCCATTTCAAGTCTCATCTTTGGCAACTAGGGCAGGGATCTCCAGGCCACAACCTAGACAGTCTCAGGTTGTTCTTGCCCCAAACACACACAGCCAGGCGTGACAACAGGCTAAGTCATATTTTCATCAAGGCCCAGCGATGACACAAAGATCATTCAAAGAGGGTAATATTATGGTCATTTCATTCATCTGTAAGTGTCAAAACCTATCTTTGCTTTTCAAAAAGAAAAAACAGGAGCTATGTATTCATTTTGGTGGATTTCTAGAATTAAACTCTGCCCTTACATATTATTAGCGTACTCTGCTACGAAATCATGATTAAAAAGTTTGGGCCCTAAGAGATTATTTGTCAACTAGACAGAGGAAATGGAAAGCCAGAAAGACTTCACTAGTGACAACTTTAAAAAAAAAAAAAAAAAAA